TTGAGTACTGTTTCTAAGGTGAGAATGGGGTTTCTCCCAATCCAATTCGTGTTAAAGGTTTCATCTAATCAGACCCCTAGACATATAAACCACAAGCATAGGGCTGCCAAATCGGGCCAGAGGGCAGGGAAACCCCCGCTTTGGAGGCCCGATTTCCGCCGCGGCGGAATTGGGCCCTGGGGGAACCCCGCCCCCGGTGTGCGCGTCACTAGGAAGTGATGTGGGCACGCCGGGGGTGGGGCCATGGCCATACAAGGGAAAACTCTATGGTTTTCCCTTGTATGGCCGTGGCCCCGCCCCCAGCATGCCCACGTCACTTCCGGGTGACACACGGGCGCACTCACCCGACGCCGGCCGGGAGCTCCCCGCTCCCGGTGAAGAATTATTTGGCAACCCTAGTAGAATGCCATAGAGTCCATCCTGCAAAGTAGCCATTTTCTCCGGAACTGTTCCCTTTACTCTGGGAATCTGTTGTAATGATGGGAGATCTGCAGGCCTCACCTGTCCTGGGGACAGGGCCGGCTCGTTATTGTTAAATTTTAGACTGTCGCCCAGGGCAACAGCTTGACGAGGGCGCCATTCTGGCCAGCCTCCTCCCCTCCTTGCCCCGCACAGGAAGCCTCCCTTGCCGGCTTCTTGCTCCGTCCCCGGCAAGAAACTCCCCTCTTTGCAGCCCCCCAGACAGAAAGACAAAGAGGTGGGGGGGGACAGGCATGGGGAACAGCGTGGGACGATGGGAAAGTGCCACTCACCCTCTGCTACCCCTGTCCCCACGGTCTTTTTGGAGCTCCTTTTGCAGCCTGGCCCAGGCCCCCTCCCCCCCCCCGAGGAACCCTGCCCCCCCACATACATTTGCAGCTCGCCCCCTCAGCCGGACTGCTGCGGCTCCGGTGCCTGCCCCCATCCTGCCCCGCACGGGGGGCTGGGGCGCGTGCCAGAATGTATCCTCGCCTAGTGGGTGAAAAAACCTGGGGCCGTCACTGCCTGGGGACCCATGGGATCAGGAACATCATGTGTTTTGTTTTCCTGTGACGTTTGGGTTGGGCGAAGGCAGGCTCAGAGAGACTCTTTTTGTCTGTCTAGAGATATGAGGTGCCTCGCTGACCAGCCACGGCTCCAATTACAGCAACTCTTGCTTCTGTTGCACACAAGATCACAGATGTCCTCTTTTGCATTTCCTGCCCACTTCAGCAGCACGTGAGAAGATGTCCCCACCGGAGCTCACTTTGTCTAGTGGTTGTTTACCAACCCCGCAGGTCCCCCCCCCCCCCCAGTATTTTACTGTCAGCAAGGGCACAGATTTGAGCCCATTCGTTTTAGTTAAGTCAGCCTGAAATTCAGTAACAATTGGATTTGCCGTTTCCATCTTACATGCTGCTGTCTCTGGATAAAGTTACATTTATTGCATTTTTTAAAATAAAAGGACTCTGGCCTTTCTCCATCCTTCAAAGAATTAAGATAATTGAATAAACTTATGTAATGCAATTAATGTCTGGCTGAAGGATCAATAGCAAGTATATTTTATTGCCGGTTTAGGGCCAAACACGAGGTGATCCATTAGGAAAGAGCAAGACTCCAGTAGCAGTTTGGTGTAATCGTTAAGTGTGTGGACTCTAATCTGGGAGAACCGGGTTTGATTCCCCACTCCTCCACTTGCACCTGGCTGGATGGCCTTGGGCAAGCCGTAGCTCTGATAAGAGCTGTTCTCGAAAAAGAGCAGTTTCTGTCAAGAGCTCTCTCAGCCCCGCCTACCTCACAGGCAGTGTTCCCTCTAAGCAGAGTTAGTGTGAGCTTGCTCAGTTTTTTACCCTCCGGCTCACACATTTTTGTTTTAGCTCAGGAAGGATGGCCCCAGAGGAAACTAATTTATGCAGTAGCCAAATCATTCTCTCACAACTTTAATGCCAGCAGCTCACAAAGTAGAATTTTTGCTCACAAGATTCCACAGCTTAGAGGGAGCATTGCTCACAGGGTGTCTGTTGTGGGGAGGGGAAGGGAAAGGAGTTTGTAAGCCGCTCTGAGACACCTTTGGGTAGTGAAGGGCGGGGTATAAATCCAATCTCTTCTCTTCTTCTTCTTCTAGCACCTTGAAGACTAACAGAAGTCCTGGTGTCAAATGATGCACAGAACTTCCATTTGACCCACTGGGGGATGCACACAAATTGCCTGTATGTTCTCCCCAGTGGGCCAAAGAGTAGTTCTGGTGGAGGGTATGTGAGGTTAGGAAACAGGGGGTGTCACCTGCCTGCCGTTCTTCTGGGTCGTGGCCTCTGCAGAGCTGGTATTTGGCGCTGGCAGTAGGTAGGCAACTACTCTGGATTTCTGGTTTGTGTCTGGTTTGACCCTCAAAGGTACAATTGCTCAAGATTACTTGGGTTTTCTTAAGAAAAAGATTGCTTAATATGCTTTGGAGTTCACAAGGTGTCAGAATTACACTCAATGTCAATATTTTTCTTTTTACAGGAACTATTGTTGTCTCTGCATTAAAAAGAAAAGTGATTTGTTCTATGAGCACCGGGTGGATTTGGAACGCTTCTCGTAAAGTGCCTCAACCAAACCTGGTCTTTGCAAATGAACCTTGGCTGTTATCGGAAGTACAGGTATTTGAAGAGCTTCTTCCGCTGTCTGTTTCTCTCACGCTGGAGGAAGAGGGTGTCGCTCTTGAAATTATTCTGAGAAACCACACTGCATGTTTGCAATTCTTGGCACTTCTCATTTACAGTAGCAGCAAAATCCCAGAAATGCAGCTGTGTCGTAGGCAAAGGCTTAGCTGGGCAAGAAATTGAAAGATCCACAAACAGGTCTCCGGTGCCCTTTTTCTGAATAAGTAGCAGCCTTCCCCCTGTACTGACGTCCCAACCTCCGATGGCCCACCAGAGATGCCAGTAGCCCTCTGGGGAGAAACAGACATGCGATAGGCAGCCAACTGTTAGGTTGTCCCCAAGAGGTCCAGTAACAGCTCTGGTGGGATTCTTGAAGGTGGGACACGTGTGTGTGTGTGTGTGTAAATACCCCTTCCCTTGTGCCACTGTCCTAATCCAAATCCCCTATTAAAATGCTGTTACTGAGATGTTGCACTAGAGATCTCTTCATGGGTTTCCCATGACCTGTCCAGTTAAAACCTAAAACAGTTATTGTGGAATCATAAGCTTCCTTGTATCAGATGCAGGGACCGCATGGAGGATTTCCTCTACCTTGGCTTCTGTACTGCAGCAAGCTTTTGGGGGGGCCCCCTCCCCCAGGTTATCCTTTCATTTCCCTTTATATCTCCACAATGAAAGGAGGCTAGAGGCTTACTTTTTAAAAAATGGGAGTATTCAGGTCATGGGAGTAGTTTCCTGGCAGATCAAGTAGAACTAAACTCGACTGCCTCCTGTCTGACAGGAACCATCAGACAACAAGACAGGTGGCTAGATTTTGTCCCCTGGTTTACAAGGAAATTTACAAGGCCGGGGGCCTGCCTACCTGAGGGACCGCCTTTCCCCATATATACCCCAGAGAGCACTGAGGTCGGGGAGTTCAAATCGCCTGTCCCTGGCCCCAAGGATGCCAGACTGACTATTATCAGATCCAGAGCCTTCTCAGTGGCAGCTCCACACTGGTGGAACAAGTTCCCGGAGGACATCAGGGCCCTGTGGGACCTCTTAAAATT